TTAGATAGAGCGATATTTTACCGATACATCCTAAACGAGAATCGAAGGTCTCTTCATATGTAGTACAACGGTAAAATGTCTGACGAAAGCGGATGTCGGATGAAGAAGTTATGAATTTTAACGGATTTTTCTGTCTCGGTCTGTTAAAAATAATAATATTCTAAACGAAAGTTTTAGAGTGTAATTTTAGCTACGCGTGCATATAAAGAACGTCAAAAACGGAGCTCATATGCGAAAGTTATGGCTTTTAGAAGTTCGGGGCACGAAAATCGGAAATTTTCGCATGAATAGTAACCGGCCACGTCACCTCGCACGAAGCAGGTGCGTCAGCGGAGACGTGGCCCGGACCGAACTACCTCGCTGCCTGCTTCCGGAGTCCGATTCGTGGCGCTCTGCTATTCGACCGAAGTGCGAGGCTATCGAATTCCGACGCGCCTCGCCCTCGTGTCCGAGCCTCGCCCCTCCACGTCCCTCGCCTTCGCCACCGATGCTCGCACGAAGAAGCCACGTCCGAGCCACCGAGCTGCTTCCGGACCGAACTTCGCAGGTGCGACGTGGACTCCTCCCAGCCACAGACTTCCGAACCTCGGCCCAATATAAAGAGGACCTGCGAACTTTGCTGACTAACTTTGAAAATTTGACACTTTTAGCCCCTCTTTCCATATTTTCTTCATATTAACTTTCCCCGAAGCCCATAAATCAATTTTAGCACCCGAAACACATCCCGAGACCCCTGAGAAGCCTGGAAAATTTTATCTTTTCGGTTTTGAAGCCCTACCTTCGCAGAGCCCGGTTTTCAAACAAACTCCCGGTTTTCAACATAGAAAGGCATATTTAAAGCCGAAGTGTTGTCCAAATTACTATTTTAACCCCCGTTTAACTTAAGGTGAGTTCAATATATAGGAACAATTGTATGTTATGTGTTATATGTGCTATGTGCTTTTCAGTATTATCATTCTGAGTTATTTTCTCGTGTTATTCGCTATGTTTATAGCAATTGTAATACCTTTGACCATGTGATTAGTGAAAGGACTTAGATTCACATTGGTACTGGTACGTAGCCTCTGGCCATGTAGAGCATGTCTCCGTAAGAGAATGAATTCTATTCTATTGCATTGGCAAATGGTTAGACAGGATTATAAGTCTGAAATCTAACAAGATGTTAATCAGAAATTGCATGTCTTCTATGCCAATTGGGCCAAAGCTTTATTGATATATATCAAGAATTGAAAAGAATATCTTTGAATAATGTCTTTGATTGATATGAACGCTTGTTACATGATCTCACATACATCTTGTTGTTCCTCTTTACCTTGTCACATTGAAGTATATATATATGGCATAACATTATATTGTATCTATTTTTTAACTCACTAAGCGTCACCGCTTACCCTATCAATGTTTAACAATTGCAGGTGATAAATAAATAGTATGTTTACATACTAATGAAAGATGTAGAATAGTTTGTAATAGTACTTTTGTACTACTTTTTATGTTTGTATAAATTACAATATCCTGGGTAGTTATGTAATATATATAACACTTTGTAATGGAAGGTTTGTATCCAATAGTTTGTAAATCCTTTATATCAATGTAAAATATTGCTTTTATGAATATGCAAATAGCATGTTTTGGAGTAATGATAATGTAAGAAAATGAAAGTTTGGGTCTTTCAAAAAATACGAAAGTTGGGGTCTTTTATATAACAACATATTGAAAAAAAATGTGTTATTCACATATGAATATAACTTGTGCTGAGAGCTAATACATAGTTTATTCAGATATAAATATAACATGTGAGGATAGCTGGTGTAAATTATATAAAGTTTATTACATGTTATATTCATATATGAATGATATTTAAACTATAAAATAAATTAAACATATTTTTTATTTATAAGTGTTTAACAAATATATTGTAATAAGTTTATTACATGTTATATTTATACAGTTGTCTATGTTGATGATCTACACATTATTAGGGTGAATAGAAATTCATGAAGTGATTGAGCTTTTAAATAATTTTTTTTAATTGAAGACCTTGGAAAAACGAATTATTGTATTGGTTTGCAGATTGAGTATATACCTAATGGAATACTTATACGTCAGTCACATTAGACAGAAAGGGTCTTAAAATGTTTCAATATAGACAATATCAATTCTTTAAGCATTCCAACATTGTTAGATCATCAAATATGAACAAAGATACATTTCACCCATATGAAGAAAATGAAGAAGCTATTGGTCCAGCAGTACCATATTTTAATGCAATTAGGACTCTTATGTACCTTACCAATGGTACTCGACATAACATTTTTTTTGTGGCAAACTTGCTAGCAAGCTTTAGTTCATGCTGGACAAAAATGCATTGGAACAAGATCAAGCATATGTCTCAATACCTTCGTGGAACTAATGGTTTTGAGTTATTTTATAGCAACACTTCCAAATAAGGCTTAATTAGTACGGAGATACATGTTGTTTTCCTGATCCCCATAAAGCTAAATCTCAAACTGGATACATATTCATGAACGGAGGTGCTACAATTTCTTTGCGATCTAAATATGAAACACTTGTTGCCATATCCTTAAATCATGATGAATTAATTGCACTAAATAAATCTAACAGAGAATGTACATGGTTAAGATTGATTACACAAATTATTTTGACTTCATGTGGAATAAATAAGGATAAAGGTCTAACATTAATTTATGAAGATCAACATGTGTCACTCAAATGAAAGAAGTAAATATCAAAGGCCACAAGGGAAAATGTATACCTCCAAAGTCTTTTGAGTACACTTCAGAGCTTATAATAAACACTAATTAAGATATAATATGTTCAACCCAATAACAATGCAACAAATATCTATGCAAGGCACATCTTACTATAATATTCAAAAAACATGTATATGCCATCAGAATGCGACATGTACATAACATGTAATGTAATGATTGTTTAAATAAGGGAGATTTAGTTACACACCACTGGATTTTCTTTAGCAATGTCTTTAATGAGGCACTATATCAAAGTTGAACTCAAGTAAGCAAAATGGAGTGTTATAAATATGTCATCTTGTTTAAGATGTTATAAACCTTATAACTAAGTGTTCAAATTTTCTCAAGTCTTATTATTCTTCCCATGAAGTTTTAGCATAATTTTGTTGATCTTGTTTAAATTACATCGAATTTATAACAAATTTATTTATTTTCATAATAAAATACTACTGAATGAAACATGATAATGAAAATGAGATTTTTAACTTGTCAGCAAAACATATATATTATCCCTAAAACAAGCAAATAAATCTAGGGGTGCAATACTATCAAACATCCCGATATGACCAAACCCGGTATTGGTATTGTATTTGTATAATCGGTTTGGTATTTGGTACCATCAAATTCCGTAAATTGGTATTTGGTGCTATATTTATTGGTAATTTACTGTATTTGTCTAACATGTTTGATACTCGATACTATATATTTGCAATTATTTTGATGCTCGGTTTTGTTCTTTTACCCAACTCGAGAGTTGGTATATTCTGATTGGCATTGATTCGGTACCATGTTCATCTATGTATCTTTTTCACTCATATTCATGAGCACAATGATGTCATTCTTTTTCAAGCCCACACCATAATTGACAATTTAAGTGCTTTTATCTAAATAGAAAAACATTGAAACACTAGAATTAAAAGATGATTATTGTTGAATTGAATACCTTTTTAGACCTTTTTGAAAATGACAATATACACAACAAATAAAGTGTCAAACGACATCACAAACCATTATTCCTGTAAAGAAATATTTCATATACATGATATAATGGTAAAAATGTTAGTATGTGAGAAATAAATTATTTTATTAATTTTTGAGTTATATTTATTTGAAAATCTAGTGATCACTATATACTTTATTTTAAAAACTGGTAATATATATATATATATATATATATATATATATATATATATATATATATATATATATATATATATATATGAAAGCTTTGTTTTATTTAAAAGAATAATTGTAGAAAAAAATAGTTTAAAGAAAGAAACTTTTTATTAAAAAGGAGGAAACTATAAATTTGGTCTTATGGTTTGGAAAAAGTTATGGATTCGGTCCAAACAGTTTTCAACTTGTATAGTTTGTTTAAACTGATATTTTTTTTGGTGGATTCGGTCCTTAACCAATTTAAAATGATTATTATACCCTTTTAATTCATATTTCATATTTTAATATATATTTTAACATTTTCATAATTAAAAATAAAAGAAAAAACTTACCCCATCTTTTCCCCTCTCTTTCTCCCCAGGATTTTGGGGCATGAACTAGATGAAGATCAAGTTTCTTTGTGCGAAAGAGAGAGGCTTTATCTCTTTTATAACATGTTGACAATGAAGATCTAAATTTATTCTCTAAAAAACCCAAAAATTGAGCTCCTTGTCATTGGTGATAAAAAAAACCAAAAACTTAAAAAATCAAACATTATCATCCTTCATCCTAACAAAACTGAATTATTTATCATCCTCGTTCATCTTAACAAGATTAATAAACCAACTTCTTTACCGATCTATCCAAATTCAAATTTAAAAAGGTTCATATTCAATGAAAATGTCGATTGAATCAGTTCGAGATTCCGATTCAAAGAAAATTTTGCATTATATTTGTTTCTCTTTATCTTTTTGGGTGATATATGGTGGTAAATCTATAGAAAAAGAACTAGGGATATGCTCAAGTTTGGTTGATTCATATTTAAAGTACATGAAGCATGTTCATCCCAAATAATATGTTTGTGTGTGTTTATTTGTTGATTTTATAGATCCGAATCTAGATTCCGGTCTAATGTGAAACTTGTTCATCCTCTTAGTGAAAAAACTTGTAACTTAAGACAAAAAAATATATCCATTTGTTGTTCCTACATGTCCTTAAGCGACAAACCAGTCTAGATCAATTCCTAAAGTTGCCTTTAATTAATGTGATTTTTGTAAACCAACAAACCATTGAAAATTTTAGTACCTACTCTTGCTTAACAAGGCAAAACAACAACATCCACAACAAATGAAATTATCTTGTCCCTTTTAGCCACACTCTTTAGTCTTACATAGTAGGGATCTCGTCCACCATAATTTACACCATACCGCACCTTCGGTAGAGATTGATCCTCATGCTACTACTACGTCACCGTCTCCTAGGTGTCCTGAGGTTTTTTTAAGTAGTTCACAAAGAGTGCAACAAATGAATGTTTTGGACTAAAGGCGTTATATTAAGTAAACTATAGGGACCAAACATGTAACTTACTCACGATATTAGTACTTCACTGTCTGTCTTTGTAGTTCCCTTTTCACAAAGCCAGTTGAAGCTTGTCTTCTTCCGACCTTTTTCTTCCCAACTTTTTTCATATAATACTTCACCAAACCTCTTCAAATCCTTAGAGGTGAAGCAACCGGAAAGATCCAACCTTTTTCAAAGATTATTTATGGGTCTTTGATTCATTGTATCCACTGTTATCCACACATTATCATGGATAATTTCACTCACAGCAAAAAGGAAGAACCATTCAACGATTCATCCATGTGCAACCCCATGAGTAGAACCTTATCTGACTACGATATCGGGGAGTTATTAAAACAATCCATGGCTGCTGACGCTGATCACCGGGGCGATCCTTTCTCCGCCGTTGACGACGTCGTATTCGGTAATGACTACGATTGTAAGAGTTATGCCGCCGATGGTTGCTCCCCCGATCTCGCTGTTCACTACAGAAATCTGGTTTAGTTTTTTACTCTATCTGTCTCTATTACACAGTCACATACACAGCATTTTTGAATATTTTATTCGATTGTCGACATGTAGGCCCCAAATTAGAGCCACCCTCTTGTTCATTTGTTGTTTACATCAATATTATTTTTAATCAGTACTTGATATCTGTACGTATGTTATTGTGGTTGGTGTGTCGATTGAGGGTAGTGGAGTTCCTATTTTGATCCGTCTTCCATTAACAAATTAGCGTCAAACTCTAGATAGAACTCGATTGAAGATAAAAGAAAGCTTCCTGAAGGTTAAAGATTAAAAAAAAAAAAAATTACGACAATTAGAAACATCATTTAGATCCATAGTGGGTATAGTTTTTACCGTTTTTCTTGGCTTTCTTCCATAAATTTCAAGATTTTGTTTTTCAACTTGTTAATATGTGTGGTATTTGTTACATCTATCAGATCGATCATTGATAGTATTGTACATCTATTCAAAATCTAAAATTAAAATCAAGAAAAGTTGAAAGATCGAAACTTTCTCACGTTTTTTCATAACTTCATTTATCTCGAGTGTCGAATAAGCTGAGAAAATCCATAAATGAGGTCCGTTGTCTTTTCTTTATCAATCGTTACAATCAATCAACCTTTTGTCAAAAGTTAGGATTTAATAAGCCGATTTAATCTATTAAATCATTCATTCTGTATGAAGTTACAAAAAAAAGAAAAAGAAAAAAACACTCACATATTCCTTTTTGGATCACAGGATATTGTAAATAGATTTTCAAGTCATGGTGGAATAACAGGGAATCCTCTTTGGTCAAGAAATCTCACTTCAAAGAATTCCAGTATCACAATGACTATGGATTCTCAATCATCAATCTGTGGTAAATATTTATTTTGTCATTTAACTTTCACACACACAAAAGTTATACTATGTGTTTTCTTTACCACTGAAAACAAACAAAAATCATCCGTGTTCCTTTTTATTGTGTGTATAAATTATAATTAATGTTAATAAAGTAATATTTCTATTTCTATTTCTATTTATTCATCAAAAGAAACGTGACCCTTTTGAAGTTGGTATACTATACTAACTTAATCAGGGGCAAATGTGTAAATTTGTCAGTTGAGAGTCCAACTTCAGCTACAAAACCAAAAAATGTGATTGGGGCAACAAGTGATGATGAACAATCAGATGATGATGATACAGAGATTGAAGCAGGTCAATGTGAACAGAGTAATGATCAAATGGATGTTAAACGGTTTAAAAGGTAAGAGGTTTACATTGAGGGCAAAATGGTAAAAAGTTTTGACTTTCTCTATTAAGTCATTCTTTTTTCTATTAAGTGTTGTATGTGTGAACTGTGAAGTGCTCTATAGTTTGTTTATACATTGAGATTATCTTTTTGGACTTAATGTGAGTGAATGACATTTTTACCCTTCTAATGATCTAGTTTTCAAATGTCAATTGGAGTAAAAGGCTTCACACACATTTTTTCAAAAACTACCCATTTTCAACAACAAATACTAAATGAATATTGTAGACATAAATTGAAATTATAAATCATTGTTTATTAGATATAACTAATGAGACAAATATTAATTAAACTTTATATGATTTCAGAATGGTTTCAAACAGAGAATCTGCAAGGCGTTCAAGAAAAAGAAAGCAAGATCATTTAACAGAACTTGAGCAACAAGTATGCAATTTTTTTTTTAACAAGATTGAAAAGTTATTAAATCCTTTTGCAAAAAATGCAAGATTTAAAAGTTATGTGTGTGTGTGTTTTTAAGGTGGAACAACTGCATGGAGAATACACAACTTTGTTCAAGCAACTCACAAGTGCAAGTCAACAATACAAAGATGCTTCAACCAACAATCGAGTGCTCAAGGCAGATGTGGAAGCATTGAGAGCTAAGGTAAATTTTTTTTTTTCTTATTTTGAGAGCATTTTTATTGTATAATAAGGTTGTACTATTTTTATATTTGTTGCATAGTAGTAACATTATTTTATTTATTTACACATAATAACAATGTAGATACAATTTATTACCATAATAGCAACATACTCACATTGTTTTATATCATAGTAGCAATATAGGTCAATCTCATAAAAGATCTTATATTTTTTGTTTTTTGTTTTTTTTTTGGATTAAACATTAACTTTATATTTTTTATGAAAAAGACCTTGTATTTTTTCATTTTTTCTGACCTGGCCCTTTTAGTCATTTTTCTCCAAAAAAAAGTTGTAAAATGTGAGGGTTTTTTCAGGAAAAACTAAGAAAGTTGAGGATTTATTTGGAAACATTTAGAAGGTTGAGGTTTTTTTTTTGGAAAAAGTGAAAATATAAGGTTTTTTTCATGTAAAAAATAAAGATGAGGTTTAATCTGGAAAAACCACAAAATATAAGATCTTTTATGAGATCAACCCAACAATTATATATCAAATTAAGTACATTGCTATTCCCCACATTTCCCTAAAAAGTATAAAGAAAGAGAAAGTCTCATTTTCCCGACTTTTAAGTGTGTGTTTTTTTGGTAAAATGAAACACTCTTATGTATCTTACCATATATTTGGGGCTTGTTTAGTTGTTTTACATAAGAACCTCGGGTTTTATGCAGAAAAGTCTCACTATTTGGGAGAATTTTCAATATATAGTCCTAATTTTTTTTTTTTGAACTTGAAAAGTCCCGATTATTTAATTTTACACGATAATATGTCATTTCTTGTTAAAAATAAAAGTAAGGACTTTTTCATTAATTTGGTCAAAATATTAAATAATCGAGACTTTTCTGTTCAAATTTTTGTTCTTTTAGCACTTTATCAAAAAAATTTCCCAAAATAATGCGACTTTTCTGCATAAAACCCTAAGAACCTCTCATTCATCAAACTATAACAAAAGTGTTTTCATTTACCACTAATCCATAAATAAAACTTAGTTACACAAATTTTTTCACCGATTTTTTCAAATTAGTGTTTACTAAAACTACATGATGATGTTCTACAGGTGAAGCTAGCTGAAGATATGGTAGCTAGGGGTTCACTAACATCAAGTCTTAGTCACCTCATTCAGAATCATCTAACAACTCCTCAACTCTTCAACAATCAAAACATGTCAAGAATGGGAAATGTGTCACCAACCATAACAGTTCGTGGGGATGACCACCCTGGACTACCGCTGCCAGGTCAGCATGTGATGGTGGGCCATGCGGACATTTTCAAGAATGGTATAAGCAGTGATGCTGGAAGCTGTGTGTCTGATATATGGCCTTAGGAAATTGTCTCATTTTATCACTTGAACATAAAATAAAAAAGGGTTTGTGGCTTTTGTAACCCTCTTCGAGTTCGAGTTCTTTGTAGTTTTGGTTTATGTAAGACTTATATGATTTGAATATGTGACAGATGTTGAAGTAGTATAGTTTGGTAGTAATTTTGTATTATGATGTGATTGTGGATGGATAATGTTCTTACATAGTTTGGACTAATTTTCTTAATATGCTGATAATAAAGAAATCGTACTTGCTCTAACATGTGAAGACTTCCGATTCATGCCCTGATCTAGAAGTCGTGATCTAGAAGTCGCCGGGGGCGTGACATAATAATCAAAGTCCAATTGAAGCAGATCTAAGAGACAAAAGCGTAAAACGGCATCAGAAAAATCGATTGATTAGAAGCAATAACTTGTCGTCTAAAAATATACAAGTCAACACACTTCTCTTCCTGTTAGAGTATACTTTGAGAAAATTTTTAGTTGCTCAAGGCTGCAACACGAAGAATTTTAGTTTATCATCTTCAATCAACATGGGTCAAATTATCAAGTCTCATTGTTCAAATCACATTTTTTTATGCTCGTTAGGTGTTTGATAAAATGTCTAAATAAGGTTTTCAAGTATTGCAACCATTTTATGACTTAAGAAGATGTAGACTTTCTTCCTGGTGTTAGTTTTCATTATGCACTCCAACCTTTTGTTGGAGTGTTACATTTGACTTTGGGTTTTTGCTTCTTATTTCGAGCCTCACATTAAGGCTTTAATGAGCTTTGTTTGTGTGCTCATGGCATTTTCTCATACATTTACGAGTGGAACATGGTTGTATCTTTTCGGGGTTTCATTGTTGCTTGAACGGTGAAGTAGGAAGTAAGGGGATTTCTCGTATGATTTCTCATCTCCAGAGCTTACACCTTCTTATGGATGAGCGTAGAGCTATGTTACGAGAGACTATTTCTTTAGACCATGGATTGTTTATGTCAGTGGCGACAACATTGAAGACGTTTGGTCAATGAATATGTGGGGATTGCATGAGTCTACATGCCATGAGTCGCTCGTATCACCACTCTAATGGTCTTGATAAATTTAATGATGGGGTTGATGACATTAAGGCTTTAATGAGCTTTGTTTGTGTACTCATGGCATTTTCTCATACATTTACGAGTGAAACTTGGTTGTGTCCTTTAGGGGTTTCATTGTTGCCTGAACGGTGAAGTAGGAAGTAAGGGGATTTCTCGTGTGATTTCTCATCTCCAGAGCTTACACCTTCTTATGGATGAGCGTAGAGCTATGTTACGAGAGACTATTTCGTTAGACCATGGATTGTTTATGTCAGTGGCGACAACATTGAAGACGTTTGGTCAATGAATATGTGGGGATTGCATGAGTCTACATGCCTTGAGTTGCTTGTGTCACCACTCTGATGGTCTTGTTAAATTTAATGACGGGGTTGATGACATGAGCGGACATATTGTTGGTATTCAAAAGTTGCCACCTAATGAACTGGAGACCGACCTCAGTGAGGCGTTAGTATTGGATACTCAACTCCTTGAGCATGTGTTTAAGCTATCTATCACCACAATAAAAAAACATCTCTCATAACTTTTGTATGGCTTTCTCTCAGCCTTTGAAAATAACCCTTTCCAAGGTGGTTGCTCATTTCAGGTCCATTGAAGTGTGGGTTGCATTGTTAATTCTTTCTAGGTGCACTCTTTAGTTGTTCAGGCCCAATAATATGCAATAAGGTAAGTCTGGGAACAGGAAGTCCTTGCAACATCGTAATATTCTAAGCATGTTAACTACTTGGGGTACATAAGACGGTATAACTAAGCTTGTTAAAAACTTGGTTGACAATGAAAGGCTGGAGCAACAAGGCAAAAAACAAGACTACATTCATGAGGAAAGAACACTGGGCAACACCAATGCCAAACAATGTCTCAATTAGGTTGTAGATAGGCATTTCACAGCAGTAGTGAAAGTATTGTGTTCCTCGATTGCTGCACACAGGGGTGATACCACGGAGGCAATGGAGAATAAACATCCATACATGCCACCACCATCCATGCCAATCATCATGTTTTCAGAACCTCCCCTTGTGGATATTGACAATGTCCTTGAGGGCATTAAATTATTCACTAAAGGAACCTTATGTGTGAGAGACGGGTTGAGAGCTCAACACATTTTGGATGCTTCTTTGTAGAGAAGGTTCAGTTCTACCCAAAGACCTCCTACATGCTATTACATTTGTGGTTAATATATGGCTAGGAGGAATATGCCTTTCGAGTTTGGCAGAATTTGTTGCCTCAACTCTTCTTACACCGCTCTTAAAACCTGACAATTGAATACAAACTATTGTAGTAGGCACTAGATGGAGACGTTTGGTTTCCAAGTTGGCTATGAAAGGTGTTGGTAAAGAAATAGCCTAGTATCATCTTAATGATTTTCAGTTTGGGGTCGGGGTGTCGGGTGGTGCTGAGGCAGTATTACATAGTACCAATAGGTTGTTGAGTGAGCGCCACAATGACGGGTCTCTTTTCCATGCTTACCACCGACTTCTCCGATTCCTTTAACCTTTTGGATAGATCTGCATTACTTCATGAGATTAGATTAATGTGCCCTTCTATATCCTTATGGGTAGAATTCCTATATGGTCAAGCAACAAGGTTGTATCTAGGATACACACATATTTGGCCCACTATTAGGGTTCAGCAAGGAGACTCCTTGGAACCAGTTCCATTTGCCTTTGTGCTGCACCCGCTCTTGCATAATATTAGAGACAATTGCAAGCTTCTTCCCCATACATGGTACCTTGATGATGACATACTTATTGGAGTTTCGGAGGAAGTGGCCAAAGTGTTGGACATCATTAAGGTGATTGGTCCAGATTTGGGCCTTCAGTTGAATATCTAGAATTGGCCCTCATATGATGGTAGGAAACTTCGTGAGGGGCTTTTCCTAATTGGCATAAGTAGGCCACCATTAGGCTGTAACTTCTTGGAGGAGTTGTTAGTAGACATGCTAGTTTCATTACCAGCTTAGCTATAAAATAGAGTCGAAAAGATTATGAATTTAATGCACATTCTTCTACAATTATTTGATCCCTAGAGTGAGCTCCTTCTGATTCGGTCTTGTATGGGTATTACCAATGTTCTAAATAACGTAAGGCGTGGCTTGACGGCAAGGTAAAAGTTAGGCCATGACAAGCATTGGCGAACCATGGCGTTTTTCAAGGCGTGACTATATTATATACATTAAAAGACATAAAATTTATAATTACTGAATTTTATCAAATATATGAAGTTTTTAAAAGTGTTATATTAATATCTAATAGAAAAAAATTCACAAAAACTCATTTATTTTAGGACCGATAAAAAACAAAACAAAAAAAAAAACCACGACATGAAAACAACTCGCGCCGTAATGTGATAAGGCGCGCCTTGACACATTATTTGGGCGCCACGCTTCACAAACCCGCCTTGGACGATTTCGTAACGGCTACACCATGCCTCGCACCATGGCACACCTTGAGGCGCGCCATGACGTGCTTTTTAGAACCATGGGTATTACTAATCTTTTCTTTGGGTTGAGGATGTGCCAACCCATTCACATGGAGGAGGCGATGTTGTTCTTTGACAAAGAGTTGTGCGGGGAAATTAAGGACATTGTCGTGTGTGGTGTCCCTTTATTTGGCGACATACAATGGCGAATTGCTTCTCTATCCATTTGGTTTGGCGGTTTAGGTTTGTACTCGACAGTAGAGGTTACCTCACATGCTATTTTCCCTCAAGGGACCAATCTTGGATGTTGCAAAACCACATCGTACGGGATAACGACATATGTGGTATGGATTCTGATTATGTTTTTTCCTTGGCTTCTTTTTGTAACAAGTTTCCGGACATTGACATTAGTAGTGTTACTACTAAGGACACCGCCCCCTAAATCTTAGAATATATTGGTGAGTGCCTTTTTAGTAAAATTTTCCATGATATGGAAGTGCATTTCGACATGATGGCTTGGCAAAAAGCAGTTTTTCAGTGTTTACGAGTACCACATGCTTAAGATTTTCTTCTAGCTATCCCTATAGATGGGGTTGACCAACATATGTCTCCTGTGGAGTAGCGTACTATCCTAAAATATCGAATTATGATCCCAATATTCCCAGCTGACAAGATATGTCTGGTGTGCCGCAAGGCTTGTTTGAACTCTTTCGGAGAGCATGCAATTCATTGTAATGAACTCATGGGGTTCAAATACAGACACGATATGGTTAGAGATGTTTTGTTTGAAATATTTAAGCATGTCGGGGTTTCCACCAAGAAAGAGGCACCTATGAATTTTTTGATTGACCTGACAAAAGGAAGGTCTACCCTTAGATCGACTACATTTTGATTTTTGGATAAGTTGGAGAGAAACATGCCTGTGTGGACCTTATAGGGGTATGACCTCTTGTATACTTGAGGGTTGTGGGATTCAAGGTGGGACAAGCTGCTTTAAAAGCTGCTACATGCAAGGTCACAAAACCTGAGAAATAATGTATGAAAAATTAACAAGTGTTCATACCATTTGTGTTTGATACGTTTTGTTTCCTTGCGTCGGATATAGTGGAGTTTGTAATAGAGTATAACAAATCATACATAACAATGTTATATCATCTAGATTTAAGGATGTAGTCTTTAAAAGAATTGCCTTTACCATAAGAAAAGGCTTAGCAACACAATTTGTTGCCCGTTTGCCTTCTCACCGATTGTATGACTATGTTTTTTTTTTCTTTTTTTTTTTTATAAAAAAAATCCACTTATGTTTAATTTGGTTAAAAGTGTGGAAAAGTTAAGTTCAACCCTTTTTTAAACTTATTTAAAACCATCATTGGACTAATTTTGTTAATAAGTAGTTGGACTTGAGCTTTTAACTTATTTAAAGCCATCATTTGACTAATTTTGTTAATAAGTAGATGAACTAGGGATAATGTTGTAAATATATAGTTTCCAATCAAATGTTAAGTCAATATGTGGTCAAATAATAAGAACTTAAACTAGTGGGAGTAAATGTGTAAATTAACAAGCGTAAGAACACTAGGTCTGCCTCATAGTCATATATGACTGTTTATGCATTCTGACTACAAGCTTCCTATAGTTGAATATATCAATCCAATTATTTCTACTGAGATTCCAAATATTGATGAAGATCCAGAATTGTATTCACTTGTTAATGAGTTCATGATTCACGGTCCATGTGGAGTTGAAATTTCAATTGCCCAAGCATGGTGGACAGAAAGTGTTCTAAAAACTTTCCAAAGCAATTCTGTAATCATACTTCAGTTGATTCAGATGGTTTTCCCTTATATAGTGTGACACCCTAAAACCAAGAATGGCGGAAACGTTCAGGGATGGAGGACGTCATGTACAATATCACAACAATGCAAAGTAGTAAACAAGCAACAACATCATCCATTGCATTAAAAGTAAATATTTAATACATGTGTGTTCTTTAATAGTAATAAGACACCAAAATATGAAATCAAAATAAAAGACGAGTCTTGT